GTATTTATCACGTCCTGTCAAGAACATGGAGCTAATTAAGTGTTCTTACTTATAAATATAAAAGCCTTGGTCAGTGGACTCTGACAACTGTAATTCACGATTGATTACAGTTGGGTTGGTGAAAAGGCTCGTGTCGTTTTTTGTGATTCAAATTACGAGTGAATTTGAAGTCGTACATGACGTTGTTATGATTGGAATTTTCAGCGAATAAAACGTGTATGCAGACAGCATATAAATGAAACATGCTTGTGGGCATAAAACATTCGATAAAATAATTTCAAACGGTTTAAATTGACAAAGGATAATGAACATATCAGACCCTAATTTGCTGTATGAGTTTGATAGAGACAGTATTACAGTTCCAGCATGACAAATCATTCATCAAGTATACGACCAAGATGTGATGACAGTAGCACATACCATCGGTAGTTTCAAAAATTCAGGGGTGTATCCAGACGCTGTAAATTTCAACCACATACCGGATATCCATCAGTGATTTTAGCAGATTCTGGGCCAAGCCGTCATCGAAGGCATCCCATGCAACTGTTAAAGAATTAGTAGAAAACACTATTAATACGTAAAATAACACTTTTTGGAAGATGACTACACACGTTTAGTTTTATGCAAGGACTGGTACTTGAGATGAGTGCATGCACTTGATTTTTGATGTGGAAGACTACTGCGTTTCACAGAAAATCACTTCTATGAAAAGCTACGAGAGGTTAGAACCAGTACTTGTGTTTGCTTTTTTATTCCAGAAATGAAGTATTTTTCGAATTCATTATGACGGGTGATGAGAAATGGATACTCTACAATTGTCGAAGAACTATTATATGCCGAAGAATTGTGTGTTCCATAGCAGAGACTACTCCTCCCATATTTAAAAAAAAAAACGAACGGATCCCTAAAAGGTTTTGTTAAGTGTTTGGTAAGATACGAAGCGAATAATCTATTGAGGTTTGGTCCCACATAATCAAATCGTTAACGCTGGCATGTACTCCCAACAGTTTAACAAACTCGGGCAAAAACGGATACATAAAGCGGCTGGCACTTGCGAATCGCCAAGACTTCAAGTCTGCAGATCACACGCTGCTTTAATCATTATGAAAAACCTACTCGACTTTGGTTGGGAAGTTTTACCTTATTGCCCAAACTTTGCTCCTTCGGATTTCAATTTCTTCGCACATTACGTTTCCTTTTATTCGTTCTTTGCAAAAAACGAAAAAAATCTTTGCATCAGCCCAGCACTTCAAAGTAGAGTAAAAAAATGTCCGCATCCAAAAACAGATCACGGGGCATTTGAAATGGTTAACGAAATCAAAGATTTTGAACTTAATATTTACTTTGCTTTCATGGAAGTAATCTTGATTTAACAATACTTTCTTTGGAATTTCGAAATGACATGAAAGCTGTCAATCGAAAACAAGACTCATATTTAGTTATGTATAATAATTGTTATTACGGCATGGAATATTTGGCTTCAAGTAAACTATTTCTTTTATTTTATATCCTATACTATATAAAATATTTAACGTTTCTTGTTAATTATTATTTTCCTTCGGAATAGTTGTCCCCGAGAAGCAAGAAAATGTTCAGTCTAAGCATGACATGCCACCAAAATTCAGTTATACTATTTGTCTAGTTAGATTACATCACTCTTTTACAGAAGATTATGGCGGAAGTGCCACAGTTCCTCTTTTTATCCGTGGGGAATCGGAAGAACTTCAAGAAATTTTTCAGTTTCCCGCATATATTATGCAAAAAAATGTACTGTATTTACTCGCGTATTCGCTTCCCCTCTTTCCTATGAACTTTACAGCTTGAAAATCGGAAAGGGGAAAATACGCTGTGTATACTATTTCTGAAAAGATGGCTTCATTGGTACTTAGAAGGCGTCCATAAAGATGCACTAATATTACATATTTCAAAGAACTTATCAATTTCCAAAACATTCCTTTTTGCTGTTGCTTACACTATATACTTTTAAATTTGTACGTATATTTTACATTGCTACCCTAAATCAGAAGTTCCTAAATCATTTGCTGAAAAACCTAAGCGGAGAATTACGCGAGGCAGGAAAATATACCAGTAAATACAGTAATTAAATCATGATGATAAATTACATGAGTTATTTTTAATTGTGTAGCTACAATTAGCTCAGTTTTAAAATAAAATCAGCTGTATATGTCTGAAAAAGAAAATGGCTTTCAAATTTGGAATTCGTTCTGAATGGTTTGTTATAAAATGAAAGTTTTCATTTTTTTTTTTTTTTTCAAAACACTCCTTTAATTATTATCAAAAAAGTGTTGTTAGAGAAATGTCATGTTCTTATCATTACTAAACGCATTTGAAACAAATTTAATTCATTATTTATATCAGAAAGGATCAAATTCAGTGTGTTATGCAATTCATATTATTTTTAAAAAAATCTGTTTTGTTTCGAAAATGAATTAATTTAATTATTGCTGCTTTGTAATTATTTAATTATATGAGTTAATTTCATATTTTTTGATTGTAAAATAATTCCATAGATTCATTTTACTTCTGAATGTCTCAATTTGCTTTAAGAGTGAACTCTATAATGACTGTAATGACCTTACGGATGAATAAGGCACCATAAAGAACACGAAACAAACATTTATTAAAAATTAACGTTCAAAGAATAATGGTAAAAAAATTAACGTTCAAAGAATAATGGTAAACTCGGAGCACTACCTCGCTCCTACAACATAGTTAATCTACCACCTGCCTCCTCTGAGGCTAACATGCAACTGTCGTTTTTCTCTCTTGCTGGGCTCTGCCAGGCAGCTGATTGGCTCACTGCAGCCAAATACATGATACTCCCCGGTAAGATTGTGATACGCCAAAGCGAAGCAGAATCTGAAAACTGAACCAGCAAATACAAATACAAACTTAAATTGTATAATCCACATACCAAATTAATTCAAAATATATGAACATGTATACATGACGTAATAACATACTTTGAAATAAATGCAATAAACATTCATCTCACAACAGATGAACAGACGACTTGATACAATACCGGAGTTCTGTAATAAAACATATATGCAATACTATTTCAAAACACGATATTATAATGCAACATTAAACGAAAACCACTAATTTTTTTTTTTTTTTTTTTTTTTTTTTCAAAACAGATGGAAAGTAGCTCTCGTACAATTCCGGAACAAAAGAAAGTAACTAATGCAAAGTTTTAAACATACTTACATACTTACTTTTTCATACTTAGTTCACACCTATTTCATTCACCAACTAGTCTTGAAAGACTATCTGCATTTTTTAATTGTGCACCAGGGCAATGAGAAATATGAATATTATAACGCTGAAATGCCATTGCCCATCTCTGTAATTTGGCAGAATGCGGTGCCGACTTATACAAATATAATAATGGATTATGGTCTGTGATTAGCTAGATATTCGATCCAAACACCCAACACTCGAACTTTTTTAATGACCACACAACGGCATAAGCCTCGTGTTCAATAGTTGACCAGTTCTGCTGAGTCTTCGAAAGTTTTTGACTAGCAAAGCTGATAAGATGCAAACTGCCTTTGCTGTCTCGTTGTGACAAGCAAGCACCAACATGAACTAGCATCACACGGTATGGTGTAAGGTTTTTCTGGTTCTGGAGTGTACAGTTTTGGCGCTTCACACAGTCGACGTTTCAGTTCTTGAAATGCTGATTCCTCAACAGCAGTCCATGGAATTATCTCAAGAATTTTCTTTTTCGTAAGCTCCGTCAATGGGAAGCTCTGTCAATCCTATTTTTGCATAATTCTTTATGTAATCACGATAATAGTTGAATAAGCCTAATGCACTCTTTAGAGCAGTCTTTGTTTTAGGACTTTTATAATTTCAATGGCTTGTAATTTTTCAGGATCAGGTTGATGTCTTCCAGCTCCTATTATATGTCCTAAATACTTTATCTCCGAACGTGCAAAAACACATTTCTTTACGTTCAGTGTAAATCTGAGATCACTTAATGTAGTTAGCACAGCATCTAAATGTTTGAGATGCGAATCCCAAGCTGGTGAAAAGATAGCAATATCATCAATATAGGCTTTGTAAAAAGTCACTATGTTTTCTTAAGGCATCATTCATCACTTGCTGAAAAGTAGAAGCTGCATTTTTTAATCCAAAAGGCATCACTTTCCAACGATATTGGGAACGATGTGTCTTGATTGATGTTAAATCACGACCTAAATTTGAATCATCTGCGCAGGATGACTTTTTATGCTTAAGTGTGAGAAAATCGGGATGTTGCTATACAGAAAGCATGATTTTTTTTGGAGGGGGGCGATCTGTTAAAATTCAACAAAAATTAAGAGTGAAATACATTAATTTCGGTACTTAATTAATAGGTAGAAAAATGAGTGTCGCACTAGAATTAGAACGTTATATAACCTAATGATCTACTTGTTTCCAAAAAGTGTCTGGAATAATTAAGTTTTTTTCTATTCGCACGCCCCCCCTGAAAAAAATATGTATATATATATATATATATATATATATATATAGTGAGACTGAACTTCTTAGGTGCTGTTGTACCTGTAAGTAAATTTTACAATATTATTTTGCATCTTTTATGCACATATACGATATATATATATCAATGTGTATTAAAAGAGAATTCGCTAATTTGCACACTGACATATCCCTCGTATTAAACTAGAAAAACGTTGTGCATTTTTAAAAATAAGTTTTGTTTCATGAAAAAAGTAATAACAATGTTTATTAAAATTATCAGCAATTTTAATATTAACTTGTATATTCATTTATATATTTCTTTACATATTCTGTCTAATAATTCAGACGATTTTGTAAAATCATAAAACTTGTTGAATATACACTCTAGAACTGTCTGAGAAAAAGAGGATTTTTGAATTACATTTCAAAACCTTGCACCAATCACTGGAATAGTTTATTAAGTGCTTGCTATTCATGTTTAAACTATATTTATTTTCTTTTGCTTTCAGGGTCCACCAAATGCTCAAAAAAGTGCCCCAACAAATCCATCAGCTATGACAGAATCATCCTACGACTTTTTGCAATGGCAACTTTTCCTGCAGTGGCAATTAGAATGGCAACAAAAGTATCCTCAAGTAGTTTTGCAGCCAGCCCAGGTTCGTAAATCCATGAATAAAAGGGAGAATTAAAAACAAAAATTATCGATGGCTTTAAAAGATAATCGTAATTTCCCTATGTTAATCAACTAAAGCACTGACCAATACGAAATATACAGGGTGAATCTGAACAAGTTGGCAAAACTTTAGGCGATGATATAAGGCAGTTATATGAGCAATATTCGTCATAGAATTATATGGTCGGAACGCAAACGGCGAGCCGCTAGTTAGCATTGTAAAAGGGTCGATCCTCTCACCTAATGGCATTTTCTACCGTGGATTTCCGAGAGGATTTTTGCTTATACGAACCACGAAATTTCCAGGGCGAGGTCTCAGCGTGGCCACCAAGATCACCGAATCTCTCGTGATTGGACTGCTTCCTGTGGGGCCGTATGAAAAGCCTAATCTACGGGTGCCCCGTTGAAACCAATATGGATGTATTCGCCAGGATCGCCATTGTTGCCGGCGATATTCGGGAAATGCCTGGTGTCTTCGCAAATGTGCGTCAGTCCCTATCCTGTAAGTGTAAAGCATGCATTACAGCTGGCGAAAGGTCTTTTGAGCAATTTCTATGAGTATTTATTGATAATAAAATGTTTTCTGGAATACCTCTTCTCATTTTTGTGTTAATTCTTTAAATGTGACAGTGGAAAACTACGCTTTGATTTCTCATCGCTTGCGTTCCGACCATACATTCTATGACGAATATTGCTCATATAGCTGCCTTCTATCACTCCCTAAAGTTCTGTCCACTTGTTCAGATTCATCCTGTATTATTTCATACCAAGAAATATCCAAATAATGCTTCAGTAACGAAAGAAAATATTTAAAATTTTAAAATTTTCCAGACTCACAGACTTTTTTTGATACATTCCGCAACAAATGTGAGTTCACTTTCAAAATGGTGAGTTTAGAACAGAAGGCCTTTTGTGTTTTAGAATGCTCACTGTCTTTATCCATTGTTACAAGGCAATGTGATTTTCGAAAGCCTATAACACAGATTTGCCAAGCCATCAAAGTATTCTAACGGATGGTTTCGACATTCAAGTTGTGCCCACTATTTTAGATAAATATTTCAACTTCTAGGACGATTTTCAAGGTCTTGTTTTCACAAATTTTGACAGTATTTTCTAATATAATTACAAAATAAAAATCCACGTAAAATGTTCGCACTGTCGTTATGCGAGGGTCAGTCGTATATTTCAAAAAACTGCTTACAGTTCTGTGATGTGAAGAAATTTGATTGCGTTTTTATAAAGAGATCTTTTATTTTAATTATTTGATAAATGCAATCGCCACATTCCTCGAATTAAATAAATCACAAAATATGTTTTATTTCCAGAAACCAAATGGGGACCAAACAGGGCAAGTAAATCAAATATCTAACTCAGCAAACCAGACGCAACAGCTTTTGGATGCGCCTGCTTCACCACAAAGACTACTTTCGAAGCTAGAAGATCTGAAAGGTTAGTAAATTATTAATTTCCCCAGAGAACTTATTTTAACATGTTCTTAAAATTTCACTATATACACCATGTAATGTTTGTTATTAATAAACACTCAAAATATTCGTTTACATAACGACAATTTTTTATTTTGGTTATCTGTTATTATTCAATAACCAACCCTTTATTTAATAACAAAATTGCTGATTGATGCTATCCATTTATTCAATAACTTTATATTCAATTAACAAGGTTCTTAAATAAAAACATTAATTATTAAATAACATTATTAAATAAATGCTTGTACCGTTAATTAAATAAAAGTATTCGGACATCGTAGATAAATAAAACGGACCATTAAAAAACCTATTTACTTTGTTTTAAAATATCATTATTCGCTTAATTGGATAGATTAACATAGCATATCAAATTAGTGTACTATGCGAAAAAAAAGATCGAAAACAGGCAATGTAGCAAGACTACAGAATTGTTGCTCTAGTAGTGAAACATATTAAAAGATAGTCTTAGTTATCATAAAACAAATAATTAATATTTAATGACTGTCTAGTGTAAGTTGATAATCTATGAGCTAAGGAATGCACATGTAAATATTTTAACACCTATTAATTTTTTTTTATTCTCGGAAATAAGATCATGTGACAGCTTGATAATCTGATTAATTGAAGTAATTTATTTCTAAGCAAGCTCATTAATTTTTATTCTGCATTATTTATCTTTTTTTGGTGGAAGGGATCAAAACTTGAAGTCAATTTTTGGCCTTCTTTTACTTAACCGATTTCCTGGAAATTTTACACACGTAGGCTCATTTTGTTTTTTTAAATATTGAAATATGTTACGGATTTTTCGTACTTAGCACTGCTTGATAATCAAACTAATCTTCCCAGAATTTTGAAATTTGCACCATTGAAAAATTTTCTTTTAGATAAAACTTATTCGGCCATTTTTAATGTAATTTACTGATTTTTTCCAAAATCGTTCGATAATATCGATAGCAACGACTGAATCTTTTATCAAAATTATATTAAATGTTAAAGTATTATTTTCGCTTTCGTTTAAGTGGGCCATTTTTAACTAAACACATTTTTAGAAACGCTTTTTGGAGAGTTTCTGAAAAGGAATCTCAAACGTCGACATATTAGTAATTCAAGATTTCCCAAATCGCGAGAAAGAAAAGAACTAAAAGTACAGTTATTATTCACATTGCAGCGATTATTCCAAACGGATTCGTATGTACAAATAAGTTGCAACTAATTCTAAATATATTTCTTTTAGACAGATTAATTGGAAAACGTTTTAGGAGAATCAAACTCCTTGTGTTTTATTTTTATAACGAGTCTAAAATTTTAATTAATATGAATATAGAGACCGGATGAACCTGTAAAAATTTGTATTTCATAATTTATGTAATTGTTTTTTTTATTTAAAAATACGAAAACACATCATTTACTACATTTTTGTATTTTTAGCGTCTTTTATAATATTTTGTAACTGAAAGTATATGCCTATGACCAACGGTTGCGAAAATAAAGGAGTTTTGAAGACACTATGTATACTGTAGTATACAGAACCTTCTTTCTCAGCTTCAAAACAGAAAAGTTTCTAAAAGCACAGAAGCGGTACGTTTCCGAAATCTCTTTGTGCAATAGGTGCCTCCTGTTTAAGGGGGCAGAACTGCAGTTGGTGAAAATCACAACAGTTATAACAGTTGCATAAAGCGACAGGTTATGTAACTTAGTTACATAACGTATTTGCATAACAGGTGTCTGTTTACACATAGTTGTATAGAGGTGTATTTTGTGGAAAAATACAACAGCAGAAGTACTTACGTAAACTTGCAGGTACCTAAGCACTCGGCACAACAAAAGTACCTATTATTTACACAACGAGTACATTAAAATGCAAGTGGTTCCGAAATCTCTTTGTGCAATAGGTGCCTGTTTATACAAGTGGCACAGAACCGCAGTTGGTGACAATCACAACAGGTGTAACAGTGCATAAAGCGACAGGTTATGTAACTTAGTTACATTACTTATATGCATAACTGTTTACACAGGTATATAGAGGTGTATTTTGTGAAAAACACAGCAGCCGAAAGAGTTACATAAACTTGCAAGTACCCAACCTCTCAGCACAACAAAAGTATCTATTATTTACACAACAAGTACATAAAAATGCAACTGGTTACCAAAAAAAATCGCAATTTATTTATAGGATTATGTGCCATATTCAGACATTCCGATGGTTAGGAAAAAATTGAATTTTGATTTTGTTCCCTTCGTTATTGACATACGAATAATTTTTGGTTGCTGTGGAGTCTAAAATTCACCAGTTCTACATTTTAAATGCAAAAAATATCTGTCACTGACCAAAAATAACTTTTGAATAAAGATCTTTAAAACATTTAATGTTATTTTACACTGCTAAATTAATTGTTTGACTGCATCCAAATAAGGAAGGGAAGCTTTTTGGAATTGGCTTTAAAAGAGCCAGTTTGCCAACACTGATATCGGTTCATGAGCCAAAGAGAATTCTAAGCATACATAGACTTGAAATTAAATAAAGGCTTAAACAATTAGATATTTTTTTACATCACAAAATGATAAAATTTGTAAAGAAAAACGAATGAAGCCAATAAACATTATGTTCACAATCTTGCTAAAATATAAACAGATATTTAACAATATCTCCAACAGAAATTACTTCGGTTTCGGAAAATACTAAATGTTTAATCAGAATACTAATTAAAATCATCAGAATACTAATTAAAATCATCACAGAAGAACTCATTTACAAAACCAATTAATTTTATTTGACGTGTAGTAACTCTGTCTTTGGTACGCTAATAAATTTACCACCGCTAATTAATTAATTCGCAGTATAATTTATTATTCAATAATTAATGAAAGCTGAAATTTGTTACTCATTTTCTCTCATATGCATATTAACTTTGGATTTCTTCTGCCTGTTAACTTAAAATGAATAAGTATTTACATTTTTTATTTACTGCATTAATTAATGTGGAAATTGACGCTAATTTGCATATTAGGTTATTTGGAAAATTTGGAAAACAATTTTTACTTTAGGGATAAGATTTAGTGGGCGAGAATAGCTTTTTCCTTTTAGGTGCTGCTACAAAATAACATTTATTAAGTTTATCGCGTTCTAAATATAAAAATATAGTATGTAAATGTGTCCGTAAACATTTACGTTAGGTTAGTTTTACAGTTGAACAATTTAATTTCTAGAAGACTTTTTGTCTTTTAAATTACGCCAATTCCGTGGGTTAAGCTCCACATTTTTACTTCCTTGTATGAAGTAAAAGAAGTATTGTAATCGCCAAATATTTCGGTTATCAGATTTAAAGCGGCTACGTATCTCGCATAACTTAAAAACGATTAGCTATAGAACTTTCAAATTTTGTATAGGAAATGTTATAACATCTACTTGTGCACCTCCCTTTTTAATTGCAATCGACAATATACACTGGTGTGCAAAAATTAAGGACGAAGTCGAAAAATTAGCATATCAGCTGAACGAAGAGGCAGAGCGGATCACCTTACTTAATCAGGAGATTAAGTAAGGTGATGTACGGTAGCACATGCGCAGATATGCAGGTAGACGTAATGGGGGTGTGTCTGAGTAGTATAAAGCATGTTGTCGGTGTAAGATCAGTATTTCTGGCAAAGAGATTGCACGCCGTATAGCAGTTAAAATCACACCGAGTTGCTGCCTCACCGAGAAATGGCGAATAATCAATCTGTTAGACGACATCTGAATGCTTTTACCCGAGGTCGAATCATTGGAAAGTTGGAGGAAGGCTGCAGTGTGACAAGTGTGGCTGCAGAGTTCGGAATTGCTCACAGCATCGTTTCACGACTTTGGAGACAATTTCAAACTACAGGAACAGCTATCCGGAGGTTTAGTAGTGGTCGTCCACGAGGAACCACACCCGCAGATGACCGGTATATTGCCTTACAGGCCAGAAGAAACAGGCGGCAGGCAGCAGGAGAAATCGCTAGACACATGACACGGCGACTGGACGACCGATATCACGTTTTACCGTGGCCAGAAGACCGCACGGTGGTGGTCTGTTTGCACGACGCCCTGTCCGGTATGTACCTCTAACGCCTGCCCATCGGAGAAGGCGTTCTCTGTGGTGCCGGGAACACCGGAATTCGAGAGACAATGAATGGGGACGAGTACTCTTTACAGATGAGAGCAGATTCAGTCTGAGTAGCGATTCTCATCGCATACTCATCTGGAGAGAGCGAGGAAGCCGCAATCATCCCTCGAACATCATTGAAAGGGACAGGTATGGAGCTGGCGGTGTTCTCGTTTGGGGAGGCATCATGCTTGGTAGTCGTACAGACCTTCACATCTTCGACGCAGGTTCAGTCAACGGGACCCGTTATTGTAACGAGATTCTTCCTCCATATCTGCGTCTTTTTTAGAGGCGCTATGGGTCCGCAGTTCCTTTTCATGGACGACAATGCACCATGTCATCGCACAGTAGCTGCCGAACAGCTCTTAGAGAGTGAGGATATTGAACGTATGAATTGGCCGGCACGATCTCCGGATCTCAATCCCATCGAGCATGTATGGGATGTTCTAGGCAGACGCTTGGCAGCTCGTACCTTACCACCAGTAACGATTCCGGAGCTTCGATTGAAGCTGCAAGACGAATGGGCAGCAATGCCTCAACAACTCATTGACACCCTCATTCTCAGCATGGGCAGACGCTGTGAAACCTGCCTAGCAGTCAAGAGATCATATCCCATATTAAAGACCGGATGTTTCTTGCTGGACACCCATCACAGGGATGTTTCGGCCTTCAGTCGCATTGCGCTCCATGCTACTTTTTCAATAAAGCTTCTTTTTATCCCTCTGATTTTCTTTTAGTAAGTGTTGCTTACATTACTCATGTCCTTACGTATTGGGGATCTTACGGTATTAAATGTGTTGATTTGGAAAGCTTTTGTACAAAGTTATATTGAAAAAAACCGTCTCGTCCTTAATTTTTGCACACCAGTGTATATATATATATATATATACACTTTTATTTCTTATACTCATATACCAAGCCCCATATATACTTTTTATACTCATATATCCACTCCCTTACCCGGCCTTTATTTTCTCAATCGTTGGTGGTAGTCATACACTTCCAATTACAGTAGTGTTTTAAATGACGAAAATATTCATGTTTTGCCAATGTCAAATTAAAAAAAAAAAATATTTTGGACAAATAACGAACTCTAACTTTTAATCCGGTCTACCGGTTCTTGCACTTCTATTTGGGAATTCTTATGAAAGAATAAAAATGCAAGAAGTTTAACTCCCCTCAGACAAAAATTGACCAAGATATTTAATTTCAAAATTTGCAGTTTTTTATGTCATTTTTAACTTGCCTCAAGGGATCGGTTATTTAGTTAGAATAAGTCGAGGAAATAAGTTTATGAAGTGCATCAACAATTGTGTATAATTTAATAGGCCATACGAGGAAGTCATGTGGTTTCCACATCAGATTATTTTCCAATGAGTTTTCATCATGCAGCCCAAGTATTTCGCGTATCTCATGCCAAACTAATATAGGCTTTTAAAATTAATCAGATATAAAAAAAAGATGTGAAAGCAAACTGGGAAAATCCAACATAAATCATTTATTACGAAATGTTTTACGAATTTCCGAAGTAATCGTGTAGTAATCATTTCTCGTAGTCCACATATAACTGAAAAGATTATTTCATTGAAAACAATGTAAATCAAATACATTATGATATATTTTAATAATTTTATATTCATTTCTTGCGTTCTGTACAAACGGCCACAATGAAACATTTTTTTATCATTAAAGCACTATACTACAATTTCAAATTGTATATATAACACGTATATAAAACGAACAAATTTCTCACATAAACAAATATCAGTAAGATAACATTTTTATTGCTTTCTCATGCTAGGATGTTGAAAAGCAGAATCAAAATAAGTTCTTGAAACTATAATGCAATAATTTTGTATAGCATTATTATTGTTTTCATTCTTATTATCTTCATGAAAAAACAAATAATAGTTTTAAAACTTATTTCGATATAAATTTCCCTTTTTTTTACATGTCTCTAATTTGAGACGTATGTTTGATATTTTAATTCTGTATAAAATTTTAATTTCTAAGTATTTCTCTTAAAATGTGTTATTTTAATTCTGTTATAATTTAAACAATCTAATAATAATAAAGGTTCTTCGTATGCGAATGAAATGTGTTACCTGTAATCTTTATTTCTCTTGCAGTGAGTGACCTGAAAGCCATACTGAAGAAAAGGAACCTTCCAGTGTCCGGTTCAAAACCCCTTCTAATAGAGCGAATCAAAAGCTATTCAGAATTACCTCAAAATGTTAACACTTCGTCCAACAGCCAGCCTGTGCCTTCATCTTCCAACGCCACTTCGAATGATGCTTCATCTCGTCCCATCAGCGTTGGAAGCATGCTTCTGGACAATCTGCACACCATTCCAGCTGTTGATATTCCCGCCTGTTCTGTGAATGCCTCCACACTAGACGGAACGACGGATACCATCAAAAAGCTCCTCGACAATATGACATCGAATTCCCGGCCATCATCTGCCATTCCCACAGAAATTGAGCAATTATCAAGTAATTTGGAAATCAACGACTCATCATCCACCTCCCTAACAAACGAAGACATTGTCCAAAGGCAACAGAGACGTATCGAGAAATTGCAGCGTGACATTGAAAGGTAACAATTATTCGTAATGGCCAGACTTTAATTGCAGTCTAGAAGCTAAATCATGCATAATAAAACTGATCAAATGCCATACAGAACTATATATTTCAAACATATATTTTGGTGATTCTTTCTGTATACAGTGAACTTTCTCAGAACGACCATATCCCAAAGACAACAATTTTTTTAAATGACCAGGATTTCGGAGAACGCGAAAAAAGAAAGTCGTTGGTATTGATAATTATAAACCCTCTCTAACCCAACTGAGACCATCATATGTATGATAAGGTGACTATTTCGGTAACAAATTAAAATATTTTATGCATTAAATAAATCTATAAACAGTGAAATATAACATTCAGCAAAGCAAAATCATCTTTTTTATCGAAAACCATGATTAAATCATTTCTGAATCATAAAATGTTTTAATCTTTCATAATTTATCATACAACTTGATTCGGTGCTTGTAACGATGCAGCACTTTTAATTTCAATAGAATTTTGAACTGTTTGCATTCCCTATCTACTGATAATCTTGTCAGCCATGGTGTCCGAAGATATCATTAACATTGATTTATTGCTTTTTGGTCTAATATGACTAGTAAATCGCTGTTGGAAATCATCAGGATTTTTAATTTTAATTTCCGCTTCATACAAAGACTGTGACGTCACTTATTGATTCGAAAGAATACATTAATGAACCAATTCTTAAAATTTCTTTGAGGCATATACCCTAATACGTGAATTTCTTTGCTGAATACTGTCAAATACATGAAAGAAACAACACGGAACACTATAAGCGTAATACGAAAAAGGAAGTATTTTAGCAAAAGTTTTAACTGTGTGTTGTACGAAAAGGCAAATAATAAATTTTAGTCCTGACAGAATACGAAAATATAAATAATATGAAGTCGTAGAGCTAGATCAATAGTTATTCCTGACAGTGACAAGAATTTGAAACAGCAAAGAAGAGCTTCATGTTTAAACTCACTGCAAGAAGTACATTTTTGAAAGACTGTACTACATAATAGTAATGCTTCTGACCTTCCATAGTAGAAGGAAGTTGGAGGAGAGAGAAATCTGGACAGGTTCTTTAGCCGAAACTCTGAATGATGTAATCTTATTTAATAATTAATAAGATGATTGACTTATTTCATGAAGTGCTAGCTGTTTCTAAAAACACTGACTAATTAAAAGATAAAATCGAGCAGATTTCAGTAAATGAATATTTTAATTAGCAATTAATATTTTTGAAATCACTTAAAATTTTCTGAAACCATTTTTGAAATTACTAAAAGGTTTTTGTAATATTTTTGCTTTATGCATAAGATATGTGTTCTGTATTTTAAAATGTTATTCCTTTATTGCATCTTAAAAAAATCAGAAATAAGATAACTTTTTTGGCTTAAATTTTCTCCTTTATATTATCCACTGCTTATTTTAATAAATAATTTTATTTATATATTTGAAACCAGTGCGCCCCCATATCTACTTCAATATTTTACTTTTAACGAACTCCAAGCGCTTCGACTACCAGGTGCATATAACCTGCATTCTCTTCAGATAATTTTCATCAAAAGACCAACGACTATTTAAGAACAGAAATAAAACCTACATACTCTACATTACTAAAGAGTCAAATATCAGTGGCCTAAATAGGCTATACAAGAAAAGTCGTCATATAGGGGTTCAAGAAATTAAGAGTCTTGGTCATTTTGCTGAACTAGGGGCCTGAACTGAACAAATAGGGGCCTTTGGAATTGTTCACAAATCATTGTACTGTGCTCATTGAAATGACTAGAAATTCAAGTAAAGAAACAACAGATACGTAGCTTTTCATTCTTCATGGTGTATACTGAATTAACAGAAAAAGCATTAATAAAATTTCAAAAGTACAGGAAATATAAAAGGTAGATTTTATTATTGCATTGAAATACTACTTTTACTTGAAACACTTTCAACACAGAAACTCAGGACAGCAATTAAGCAGTCTATTTGGGGTTTAAACTAAATTAGCTGTGATCATATACTATGATATGGCAATCAATTATTCTGAGCTGTGTAACTCATTTAATCCAGGATATAGGATATATATTGCTTAGTTAACACTAAGACCACCACACTGATTGGTGTGGTAACATTGATTCGCTTATTTTAAATTGTTTTCCAAAAATATTGAAATAGTTTATTAATATATATTTATTTATATTTAATTAATGTTTGTCTATTTTAGGTTCCAGTTACAATTACAACAATCCATTATGGGCAGTTTGCCATCTGTGACACAGTCGGCTGTCACAACTGCGAAATCGAACGGTTTTCAAGTGTCTTTCTCCGAATCAACTACATCAAACCCTGCTGTCACCTCTTCTGCTGCTAGCACTGATGTTGAGAGTCCATCAAGTGCGGAAAACAAAGCTGCACAAAGGCAGCTCATCCATCAGTACTTCAAGCAAAAAATTCAGCAGCAAGAGCTACAACTACAGAAACAGCAACTAATTCAAGAAGCCCAAAAACAACAAGGTGATATATCTTACCACTTTTTTAAATGCATAATCTTTATTAAACTCGTGCTTTATGTCACAATTTGATTGCAGTCATGAACTAGACTCAAAAATAGATATACTATTGATGTTTCCAAATAGTCCCTATGGAACAGAAGTATGCCCAATTCTCCAAGACATTTAAATACGCGGGGTAGAAATAAGCTAGTCTGAAGTCTTGGCACATTTTCTCAAAGGCTTAGTATGCCCATCTTCCTCACATTTATAAAGTAAGAACAGGATCATGGAAAATTAAAGAACAATTTGAGGGTCCATCTAAAACTTAAAGTCAAGCCATTTGAACCTAAGCTTGTATGTATACTCTCTCATATTGGACACTACATGCTTAAGCTCTTCCAAAACTTTTCTGACGTTCTTCGAGGCCTTTACAGTGTGACTGAGCCAAAGATTTTCCATACTATGTACAGCGACTTTTTCACCCTCGAAATATTACCCAGAAAATCATACTTGAGCGTTTACGTCATGTACCAAATGAAGTAGCATCTCATAAAATAATTCAGTTTCTGTTTCATTAACTTAAAAGACGATTTTTATAGATAATAAAAGGGACGTAATATATAAATCGATTTTTGCCTAATTTACATGGAAGATTTTATATATATTTATTTCTACGTTTTGGAAATCTGGAATAGGTAAATAAAATAATTTCTATTCAGTTTCTACTTATTACTTTTACATAATGAAATACGCCTTTTTAAATCTCTTCTAGCTGCAAGTACAGCCGTCAGTACATCAAACACAACTTTGCCGACAAATGCGAATTCGACGCTCACGGCATTGCTGGAGAGGCGACCTATGAACGCTAGTCCAGACTTCCTAGATTCAGTGACAAAAGCCGTGCCGGCCTTCCCTTCATCCGTCTTGTCAACGCAAGTCGAGGATTCCAAATCGGGTGACACAATAGATGATGGATTTCCAGGAGTTATGCCCTTGGAACAGAAGTATGAGGCGAGATGCGATGTTGACGCCACGTTTGGAAGTGTGAGCCCTCTCTTAGTCGGCCGTACTTCAACAGACATTATTGTGCCTTCCAAGACAACGTCGACTTCTACTCCTAGTGCCTTAACTGACAGGTACGCACATGCTATAATATAAATGATTTCACTGTAACTGCCTAAATTAACCAAGCCGGATATTGTCTGAATATAAGAAGTGACAGTCTGAAAAAGAAGGTATTATTTACGAGGGCATTATTTCAAATTCAGAGGGTCCCAAACCTATGTCCGCGGACACCATGGCGCCCGCCGGTCGTTTAACATATGCCCGCCGCTGTGCAATCACAATATAAATGTTTTAGCTTTCAATAAAATTCTATGTTAAAGTTTTTTTCATTTTTAATGAAATAGAGATACAAGCACAAATGCGTCCAACGTAGATACAAGCACAAAGCGAAATGTGACTGATCTCTTTATGTGCATGTATTATTAAATCTATCTAACTATAAATTCACCATCAAAAGGTAAATGGCGCCCGACGTCCAACAGATATTCGAGAATGTACTCTTAGGGACAAAACGATTGGGTACCCCCTGTTCTAATTGGTAGGTTAGGTACAACTTTTAAGTACATAACTGCGAATGCATACATGCATTCGCAGTATGTTATGTGTTCCGTAAGTCAGGGGTTAGTACGTAATATGTATATTGCATAGGTACTTAAGTATTATCGCAACAACATTATTCTTATTTAAGAAAATAAGAATAATGCCTTAGAATTACTAAAATATATTACCTGGGTATTTTACGTTTAAATATTTGTCTCGAAAATTAGTTGATAAATGTTATAAGCAATTTTTTTGTTTTTGTTACTTTAGTGGAAACTCGGAGACGATGGCTGTAATAATAGATTCAAAACAATTGTTTCCTTTAGCGATTTTGGGTCAAAATACTGTACTCCTACAGAAATTTTATCACAGTTCCTCCATTGTTGGTTAATCTCACAAACACATATTTTGCGATTAAGTTTAGGAGGAAAAATGTCGCCATTTGTCCATAAAAGCCATCGGAATTTAATTGTAAAAAAATGCATATGAAAATGGCGATGTTGCTTGTCAAAAACTGAAAAATCTGTTAAACGCATGGTTACCAGATTTTTAAGGCATTCTCTAAATTTGGCAAGCAAAGAGATAAGTACCGTCACATATTACCTAAGCTGCATAACGTGTTAATGTGTATATATTATCAGGTTCAATGTTTCTTCTAACCTTCTTCGGAAACATACAATGACCTGACTAGAACAGAGAGCTTACTAAAGCTATGTTCACTAATTGTAGTAAGTAGACAGGATACAGACGAAGGGTATACAAAACCCTTTATTTTTTTCTTTTATATACAATGACTTCCGTACTTCGGAATACAATGACCCTCCACTCGGGGTCTAACTTAAAAGATATCAAAATAAAACTAAACTCTAATTTAACTTTAGAATAAGATTGGCCTTATAATAACAGGAAGCGTATGTAGCACAGAGACTGTGAACACTACAATACGTTTAATTTATCAAGAGGATTAAAACCTCTGGCCTGGAAGGCAAAGTAGCAACTGCGTAACTTCTAAGGTAAGCGGCCTGCTTCGAACTCACGGCTTCCTCTCTTCTGCTTGGCAAAAAGGCCACACTTAAATACTTGGCGTTCGCCAGACAACTTTGCATAAACTCCTTCACGCTTATAATTCTGGCCGGAAGTAGAAAATAAGAAGTGATAGTAAAGATTTAAAATAAAATAAACGTTAGTAAAACTTAAGATCCTTACATACTTCCCGCCAGAGTTAATTAGTTTGAAACTGAGGTCTAAAACGACCTTGTTGAAAACTTTTAGCTCTAGAAACTAACGCGAGGCCAACCTTTTACAATCATAACTTAGCTAGAAACTAGAAAATTTTAAAAGAAAGAAATTTGTTACAATAGCAGCTCCCGGAATATACAACAATCTTTTTTCTTTTTCATCTGTACTGCATCAAAACAGGAGCTTTATTCAATTCTGGTTCCTTCCAGAGATCTGGAAGGAAAACTAGTTTAATGAAATGTTACAGAATGACATTGCAAATAACATATAGAATATACTTTTCTTAACATTCTTATTTCATTCATGACTATTTTAATTATCTCTCCCCGTGCTCTCTGACATGTGTTGTAAAAACACCAAACACGAATGTGTTTCTGTCTATGTGTTCAACACTTCCTCCTACAATCAAAACACTAACGTGTTAAAATTCAACATACGAGACCTCTTAACACACCCTAATTTCAACTCTAGACCCTGAGGTACTATTCTGAAAGTGGCTAACTCTAAAGTGTAGCGTCAGAGAGCCTGAGCCTAACTACATCATTCAACCTTTAACACATATTCACCATGATTTAATCTTTACAGTCACACGAATAACAAATTTTTTAACATTACTTTCACTTTTACCATATCACGGTATTTCTAAACATTCAAAATAACAGTTCACATGTATACAAGAACATATCAAGATGCCGTTAATTTTACACATTTGAAAACATACATTAGTAGTACATTGTTAACTTCTATTCTTTTCAAAGCAAGTGCCAATTCTTTCTACATTGAAATAATACTACATTTCAAAAAGTCTTTCAGACTAAAACTTCTTTCTTGTTAGAATGTTTTAAATAAAATTTATACAATAACTTTTTACAATATTTAAGTCTTTACACAACGCTATTATACATCAACTTTAGTTTTACGCGCGAGTAATTGAAAAACATAATAAGAAAATCGGTCACAACTCATTTCTCGCCCTTTTGGCGATAAAGGTAGACCTCGCATGAGGTAAAACTTCTTGAAATCTGCCACTTGCAGTAAGAATGAAAGATTAACTTAAGTTTGTAAAGTAACATAAAATTTTACTTATCTTTGTAATATTCAGACATCCTTTTCTGGGCCCAGTCTTTAAAGGTGCTGCAGACCGTAGCTTGGTTGATCCTCCTTCTTGTACGGGCTCGCCCTTCAGTGCTTTCCTCTGGAAGCTTCCGTTTTTCACCACTACGGCCACCCTTGAACATCTTCCTTCTGTCCTCTGCTTGTGGTCTTGGCCGTTTGAAGGCAGCTGGTCTTGGTGGAACCGGGAAACTTCTGTCGTGATCCTGCTTGGACCTCGTTGTTGGCCGTTCAAATTTTTCTTGTACTTTTTCCTCCGCCGCTGATGGCCCTTCCGCAGTTCGGCGACTTTTGCTGCGGAGAGTTCTGTCGGATGAGTCAATCTTCCGTTTCACAGCCGGGTTATAGTTGCCGTCCTTTCTCCCGGTCTTTTCCACATACGTCGTCCTTCTCCCTTCTTCATTCTGGGGGTGTTCGTGAACTCTGTTTTTCTGGACGGTGGAACGGCTTCTTTTTCTTTGTACCTTCAATTTTTCCGCGGGGCAATTTTCTTTTCACTTGCTTCTGTCTCTCATTGGCTTGCCCTTGTACTTGTCGTTTTCCCACCTCTGGAACTTGTACCTGCGGTGTCTGCCGTACCGGATCCTGCAAAAGATCTGAAAAGATTTGCATTTTATTACGGATCATAGAAGGGTTTTATTTGGATCAATGTTTGCGGAACAGGTTTCACCATTTCTTGCCTTTAACACTACAACAGCGTGAGTTATTTTTTCTATAACATATGGTCCTTCAAAGCGTGGAAAAAATTTGGCAGTTTTATCTTCTGGTGCTGAAGAAAGTGAATGCTTAATTTTTACTTCATCCCCTACTTTATAAGTTACTCCCCGTCGTTTCAAGTCATAATACAATTTTTGTTTTCTTTGTGCTACTTCCGTATTCTTTTTTGCTTCTTTTATTAGTTTTTCTATATCACCCATTTTAAATTCTGGGGCTCTTTGTTGCACATAAAATAGTTTATCTAACGGTGTTATAACCTTTCTGCCTAGAAATAACTCAGCAGGAGTTTTGCCCGTTGTATCATGTTTTGCGGTCCTAAGGGCGAAAGCAAATTCATTGACATAGTTATCCCAGCTTTTATGAAAATTTTTAACATAACTACGGATAATTTTCACTATATTTCTGTTGACCCGTTCCGCTATATTTGATTGCGGCCGATACGGGACCATTTTTAAATGACGTATGCCCAGTTTTTGGCACATGTCTTCAAATATATTACTTACAAATTGAGGACCATTATCCGATATAACTTTTAGGGGCGCCCCGTATTTTAAAATATATTTATTTAAAATAGAATCGGTAACTAATTTCGCGGAGGCTCGTTTTAAGGGAACAATTTCGGTCCATTTACTAAAATGATCAACTATAACAAGGAGATAGCGACTTTTGTTTAACTGACTTTTTGGGAAAGGGCCCAATAAATCGATGCCGATTATTTCATTTGGAAATTCGGATTTAATACTATTTAGAAACCCGGCCGGGCGGAAATTAATATAATTAACGGCTTGACATGTTGGGCAGGACTGGACATACGCCCTTGTTAACTTTTGCAGTTCAGGAAAGTAGACTGCCTCGCGTACGCGTTGAGTAGTTTTTCGAATACCAGCATGAGAAGCTAAAGGGCTGTCATGGAGCTCTTGCAGGATATTTAATCTAAGACTAGCTGGGATAACAGGTCGAAATTCGTTGTTGGAATTCGTAGTTTTTGTATAAAATAATAGACCATCTATTAGTTCGTAATGGGCCGCCCTATTTCTTATCGCCACAATATCTTGGTGGCTAAAATTTTCAGGATCCTTCAAATACTCATAAATACTTCCAAACTCAGGATCCTTACCCAGTTCGGTTATTACAGTTTCTCGGGAATTTATTGTACACGCTGTCAGCATTGCAACTTTTACGGTATTACCCTGTTCGTCTAATTTAATTCGTGACAGGGCATCTGCTACGATATTTTCCTTTCCGGGGGTATGCTTGATTACCAGATTATATTCTTGCAGCTTGAGTGCCCATCTTATTAACCTTGGGGATAAATTTTTTCCCTGAGTACAATCTAGTTACCGCCGCATGATCAGAATATACTGTTATCGGCGCCTTTCCAAAATAGACTCGGAACTTTTGCACTGCTAACAGAACTGCAAGTGCCTCTCTCTCGGTCGCGGAATAGTTTCTTTGTGTTTGA